TTTGCTCATCCCCTTTTGTCCTCCTCCCTTCTCTCCATCCCTTCCTCCACTGCCTTCTCCATTTTCTAGTAAAATGTTTGAGAAAAAAGAGAAGAGAGAGAAAGGGAAGGATGAGAGAGGAGAGAGAAGTTGAGAAGAAGGGTAAGATTGGAGAAGAAGGGAGAGGAGGACATAAGGGTGAAGATCTAAGGGAAGAGAAGAGGGAGGAGAGAGTGAGAGGGGTGAGGGTAAGAGGATGAAGGAGATGTTAGAGAGAGTTGGATTTTTTTTTGTGAATATTTAAATTGGAGGGTAAATGTGAAAGTATGGAAGATGGGGGAGAGATATATATATGCATACAACCATTAATTTTATTGTTCAAAGCAAAACTCCAATGATCGAGATATGCCTTTTTGGTTAAATGTGTTATTTTTTACGTTTTGTTATCATTGACGTTAGTTTTTAGGCCTTATTGATAAATGAATGTCACCTTATAGATCGGATCTTATAGGTTGATTTGATAATTTAGCCTATATGCACCTCTATGTTATCTCCTCTAGGAAAGTGTTTGGCAATTCTTTAAAACTGGGCCGATCCTGGCCCAGCTGAGAATTCTTTTGGTGTTTCCCTACTACAGGGCTAGACTTGGCCTAGTTCTTTTTAAGTTAAAATTTGAGTTTTAAATGAGTTCTTTTCCAAACCAACTTCTGTATGGACCAAATATAATCTAGTTTAGGATAGGCTATTTGTTTGCTAAAAAAAGAGGAAAATCAAAGAATAGGAAACCTGATTCTAGGAAAAATTGTTTTGAGATTGTTTGGTTGGCTAAAAAAAAGAAGGAAATCAAAGAATGGGAGATGAGTTGTCACATTATTATTGAATGATGTGGGTGATTTTTTAAGAAAATTTGTTTTGAGGTTGTTTGGTTGGCTAAAAAAATAAGAAAATAAATTATAAAAAACATATTTCTTGTAATAGGTTCTTTTATTGTGTTTGGTTCATTCATAAAAATAAGAAAATAGATGAGATGAGATGAGTTGTCATTATATTATTGGATGGTGTGACTTACACTTAAGGAAATCGATTTCCTAGCTTTTTTGGAGGAAATAGATGGAAATAAAATGTTAATGAGATGAGATGAGTTGTCAACATATTATTGGATGATGTGAGTGATTTTTAAAGATGGGATGTGATGGAAATGGGGTGAGTTTGATGATGTGACTCATTTCTTGTGTTTGTTTATTTTTAGGAGATGATATGAGATGAGTTGTGGGATGAAAATAATATTTTATTGGATGTTGTGATGAATTTTAAGAATGGAAATGGATGAAAATAATGTTTTACTGATTTCTACATACCCTTTTACTTTTCTTGATTTTTAGGAAATCAACCAAACAGCCCCTAAAACACAGTTTTAAGCATTTTGCTAAAGACGTCCTTTCCAAAATAAAATAAAAATAAAAGAACACCCACCTAAATAGTATATACCCGACACTGAGAAGAAGAGCAGGGAGCGGACAAAAGCCCCAGCCTCCAGAGCACCACCTCCTCAGCGCCTCTCCAAATGGAGCTCTCCATTCCTCCCACTCGTGTCCCTCTCCCATCGCTCCTCTCTGCTCGAACCCCTTCCCCTCCCTCTCATCCCCCCTCTCTCCTCCTCGTCCTCCCCCCGCCGCCCAAACCCCCCTCTTCCCTCTACAAATCAGGTAGCGCTTGAAACCAAAATCAAACGAAGCCCCATTTGGGTTCTTCTTTCCGCTAATCGTACGCCCATGTTTCTTCTCTTTTTAAGGATTTGGGCGTCGGGACGTGCGGGCGCTGGCGTCGTCGGAGGAGGCATCATCGTGGACCTTCATGTCGCTGGTGAACAAGATGGAGGAGGAGAAAAAGGCGGAGGCAGGGGCGGTTTCAGGGGAGAAGGAGGGAGTTTCTGTCGTTGATGGTGCTGGTGGTGACGGAGAGCAGAGCGAGTCTGCAGAGTTCTTGAACAAGCTCGACCTCAAGGTAATGGGGAACTCTATTTAAGCGAAGTTTTGCGTTTATTAGAAGAATTTGTTTGATGACTAGGCGTAGAATTCCGTTACAAACTAGAGAAAAGATGTAATTTTCTTCACTACATCTTGGATATTTGAGCGTCTTGATACTTGTCCTGCTAGACTCCTAATATAAAGTTGACTAGCTTGGTATTGAAATTAGATCACTAGTTACCAACAAATGCGATGGAATATACAATGGTTTGGTTTAGCTAATCATGATAACAAATTCTTGGCTGATGTTCCTCTTGTTTTATATGTTTCGTATAGATTAGGTGAAATGATGTGTGGATTATTCTTCTCCATATGGTTTTTGCTTGTTAAATATTGTGGTGCTGCAAGCTTGGATATTCTTCACAAGTCTGATGGTCCCGGAAAATCCACCTTAAAAGATAGTACCAACCACAGAATGATGGAGGTGTGTCCAAATGTAAAGACGGATCAGTTGTCAGTTTAGGTTTTCTTGCTTCAAGGTACTCGAAAAGGCACTTAGTAGCTATGGAGAGGTATTGAAATTTGAGCCAATGTGGACAGCTTTGGAAATATTATTAATAGCGTTTCAAATTTTTACATGAAACATCAGAAATAAATGGTTGAGATTAACACAGTTGTTTGAAAATCATTTACGAACTTTGCATTGTTCTTGTTGAGTTACATAGGCTTCAATCGTTCCTTCCATTTTGACAAATGACAACAGACATCAATTCCTTCATTTAGAATTTTTTGGGTTAGACAATTTTTTCCTGTAAGCTCTATCAGGAGCCATATTCTCAGTTAAATTAGCTGCTATGATGACAACAACAATCAAGGGGAAAAGCCATTATCTCAAATTGGTGTCCTCAAAGTCCCTTGAGTTTATGAGAAATATTTTCTAAGAGTGATGGATACTAGTTGAAATCATTAAAAATGGGAAATATTGTAGTCAAAGGAGAATATATAGATATACTTGAGGTTGAATCTTATGGATTATGTCAATTATCAATCTGGAAGGTTTTGCCCCCTTTTTTTACATTGGTAATAACTATGATACAAGAAGAACTTAGGTTTTTTTAGTTTAGCACTCATGTGCGCACGCAAGCAAAGAACTTGTAACCCTTATCAATAACTGTGTAGTTTAATTTAATGCTGCATTTTTTATGTGCCTTCTCTTTTGGATCACTCCTGCATCACCTTGAGAAAATCATATACAATTCTATCTGCTTGCATTTCATTTTCCCGTTTGAATATTCACTTAAGCTTTCATGTATGTATTTGAAATGGCATCTGTAAACTTCTTATGCTCATTTAGTATTCTGCATCACCTTACATAATTATCAACCTTTCTGTTGTTGGGGCTTGTACAGATCCCTAATGATATGGTGGTGAATAAGATCGAGGAGGAGAATCCGGCAGAGGTGGAGGAAGCTTCAGAAAAGAAAGAGGGAGAGGCCTTTGTTGACGGTGGTGGTGACAGGGAGCAGAGCGAGTCTGCAGAGTTCTTGAACAAGCTCAATCTCAAGGTAATGGGAAATTTTATTTATGTAAAAATTTTCCATTTTTTTCCTTGCTAATCACTGATCATAGAGGTTGGGATTAGGTCTTTTGGAGGGAAATGAAGGTTTATTATGATTGCCTCTATTCTAGAGGAATCTGTTTGATGAGTAGGCATAGAACACTGTACAAACTAGAGAAAAGATCTAATTTTGTTGCTACATCTTGGATTATTTGAGAATCTTGATACTTGTCATGCTGTGTCAAAGAATTGTTGCGCGCAGCGGAAATTTCGGCAGCACAACAAGAGAGTCAGGTCGCAATAAGAATTCCCGTCTCACCAAGGAAACAAGAATCTGAAGCAAAATATCTCAACCAAGTGAGATATCAGCTCTTTCTCTCATCAGTTCTAGGACTGACCTGTCGAGGGAACCTAAAAGCTATTACAGATTACACAAATAGCGATACAACCAATTTTACGTGGTTCGGCAAATTGCCTACGTTCACGGGGTAAGGAGGGGGAAGATCTACTAATAGAGGGAGAGAATACAATTAGGGTTTATAATCACTCAATCTAAACCCTCACACAAACTCTCAGATCCCTCACACAAATACCCTCTCAAAGGGATGCACAAAACCCTAGAACAGCTGCACACAACTCAAAAAAAACTCTGCTTTTTCTTTTGCACGTGCCGCCAATTTCCCTTATTCCCCTGCTGCGATTTTCTTCAGCAGCCGCAAAACAAAACCAGCCTTGCACCGAACCCTAGAGCAAAAATCATATGGCTATTTATAGCCTGATGAAAAAAAAAAGCATTCGCGTTCGTGGGCCGATTTATTTCATCCGCAAAACTCCTTCACGCGAGTGCTCACGTGGAAATTGATTTCTTCACGCGGAAAGAAATCAAAACACGTTCGTGGGCCCCACTAACACGCTTCACGTGTACAATTCTCCACCTTGGTGAAGTTTTCTCAAAACTGAGCCGACACGAAATACATCCAAATGTCCCACTTGTTGCGTCCGGGACGAAGTGGAATCAATCCACAACAACGGACCCATTCCACAACAAGTCGAGAACCCGAACGAGAGTCCAAACAATCTCATCCCCATCAAAATCAACTAATCCAAACCGGCTGCATCAAACATGACTGCCTACGTATCCTCTTGCCCAAGGAATCAAGCAGAACGTAGTTCACCTAAATGGCCGCTAACGGCCTCAACAATCACGAATATGTAACAAGTTTCAACAATGATCTAATTTGTTGTTCGGAACCACCTTTGTGAGCATATCCGTCGGATTATCCTTCGTGTGAACTTTCACAATCTCTGCATCGCCATCTTCAAGAACATCCCGAACGAAGTGATAACAAACGTCAATGTGCTTCGTCCTCGCATGAAAAACTTGATTCTTCGCCAAATAGATAGCACTCATGCTATCACAATAAATAGTGACGGATCGCTACGATATATTAAGTTCATCCAAAAGTCATCGAAGCCAAATAGCCTCCTTCACAGCCTCCGTAACCGCCATATACTCTGCCTCCGTCGTAGACAAAGCTCACAGCCTCCGTAACCGCCATATACTCTGCCTCCGTCGTAGACAAAGCCACCGTAGACTGTAAGGTGCTTCTCCAATACACCAACGCACGGGTCAAAGTAAACACATACCCCGTAGTAGACCGACGCTTATCCAAATCCCCGGCATAATCCGAATCAACATAACCAATGCATAGTTGCCCACCTGTAGTGTCCCGCTTATAAACTAAACCAACGTTAAGCGTACCTCGAATGTACCTCAAAATCCATCTCACGGCGTCACATTGACCAACTCCTGGATCGTGCATGTATCTCGATACTATGCTCACAGCCTGTGACAAATCCGACCGCGTACATACCATCGCATACATCAAGCTCCCAACCGCGCTCGCATATGGAGTATTCGACATCAACTCTCGATCTTCAACTGACTTTGGTAAAAGACCAGCTGAAAGTTTCAAATGGGCTCTCAAAGGTACACTAACTGGCTTCGTATCCATGTTGATATGGAATCGCTGTAGAACCTTCTTCAAATAAATCACCTGTGTCAAACAAATTCTGTCATTCTTCTTGTCTCTGCCGATCTCCATCCCTAGAATGCGCTTCGTCTCACCCAAGTCTTTCATCTCAAACTCATTTGAAAGCTGAACTTTCAACTCATTTATAGCTGACCTGAAAGTAGAGGCAACCAACATGTCATCGACATAGAGCAACAAATAAATGTACGCACCTCCTTTCAACTTACGAAAATATACGCAAGGATCAAACTGGCTCTGAGTGTACGAATGACCAATCATAAAATCATCGAATCGCCTATACCACTGTCGAGGAGACTGCTTCAAACCGTATAGCGATTTCTTCAATCTGCAAACCAATTTATCTTTCCCTGCAGCTCGGAATCCCAATGGCTGAATCATATATATTTCTTCATCAAGATCATCATAAAGAAATACCGTTTTCACATCCAACTGATCTAACTCCAAACCATACTGTGTCACCAAAGCTAGCAAAATCCGAATCGAAGAATGCTTCACCACCAGAGAGAAAACCTCATTATAATCAATACCTTCCTCCTGTGCATAACCCTTCGCAACTAACCTAGCTTTGAACCTCAATGGAGTGCCATCAATGTCCTCCTTCTTCGTGTATACCCACTTGCAACCAATTGTCTTTCGTCCTTTTGGAAGCTCAACAAGTTCCCATGTATCGTTCTTATGAAGAGATTTCATCTCCTCCTGCATAGCCACCTGCCACGAATCAGCCTCCGAACTCTGCTCGGTCTCTCTGAATGTAGTAGGCACCAACTCATCGATACTCTCCACCGGAAGTGCATACGCAACTGTGTCGGCATACCGTGCTGGTATCTGTATATTTCTCACCTGTCTCTGAACCGTAATCAAATCTTGAACCTGAGCCGTCGGTCCCTAATCCTGCACAACAGTACTCGTATCCCCCGTGTTATCATCGTGCTCACCTGGCATCACCTCAGTCGGTACTCTAATGGATACTGTACCATCTGGACAATATGGAGCTGCATCGATCTCCACCACCTACGATATCTCCTTCGTCGGGTCGCTCTCCACCTGATGAGAGCTAGGAAGCTTTAAGATAGAAGCCTCATCAAACGTGACGTCCCTACTCAGCACAATCTTCTTATCAGCTGGATCCCAAAGCTTGTATCCCTTGACATCACGCTTGAATCCTACAAATATGGCCTTCCTAGCTCGAGGTTCTAACTTATCAGTTATTACATGATAAAATGCAGGGCATCCGAATACATTGAGTTGGTCATAGTCGTGCGCTGGCTCTCCCGACCACTTCTCCATTGGGGTCTTCCACTCAATCGCAGATGAATGTAGCCTATTAATGAGGTGGTTTGCATATGTAAGTGCCTCAGCCCAAAAGATCTTTTTCAAACCACTCTGCGATAATAAGCATCGGATCTTCTCCAGTAAAGACCGATTCAACCTCTCTACTATCCCATTTTGCTGCGGTGTATGACTAACCGTGAAGTGCCTCTCTATGCCATCGTCTCGACATAGCTGCAGAAAGGGGTCTGATGTGTACTCACCACCGTTGTTGGATCGTAACGTCTTGATCTTTCTCCCAGTCTGCAATTCCAATCTCTTTTTCCACTCCACAAACAAATCTAGGACTTCATTCTTTTTCGTCATGGTGTACACCCAACGCCTAGAATAGTCATCTACAAAAGTGACGAACCAATATCTACCACCAAGTGATGTAGTCTTGGTGGGACCCCAAACATCTGTGTGCACGTAGTTTAGGTTGCTCCTCGTCAGATGAATGGCAGTCGCGAACTTCACCTTCGTCTTCTTGCCAAGAACACAATGCTCACAGAACTCAATCTTTTCACTATTGGCTCCCTTCAATAGCTCCTGCTTGCACAATGCCTGTAGTGACTTTTCACCTGTGTGCTCCAATCTATAGTGCCAAAGTCTGCTCATGTCCACTTCTGAAATAACCGAAGCAACCTGGTCAATCTCGGTGCTTCCCTTCAGATAATACAAATTTCGATTGCAGACTCCCTTCATCACCACCAATGATCCCTTAGTAATCTTCGCTACAGCGTTTTCGAAAGTCACCTTGAATCCCTTCACATCCAAAGCTCCAACTGAGATAAGATTTTTCTTCAGTTGAGGAACGAATCTTACCTCCTTCAATTCACGAACTACTCCATCGTGCATCCGGATCCGCACAGTACCTATCCCACAAATGTCACAGGATTGATCATTTCCTATGACAACAACGCCTCCGTCGACTTTCTCAAAAGATGCAAACCAGTCTCGTCTAGGGGTCACATGATAAGTAGCGTCGGAATCAAGCATCCAATCTGATGCATCCATATGGTTCACCTCCGGGGTAATCAGTAGAGAAAAGCACGAATCATCGGAATCATCGTCTTTCGTAATATTCAGCTCATTGGTCTTTGGGCCCTTTTTCTTGCCATTCTCTTTCTCCTTGAGCTTCGGACAGTCTCTCTTCCAATGTCCCTGCTCCTTACAGAATGCACATTGGTTCTTTGCTAATTGGTGACGGCTTCTTGACTTTGACCTCCCTCTATTACCACTTTTTGGATATGTGCTTCTACCTCTCGTCGACAAATCCTCGCCTGAAGTACTAGCGCGGGAAGTCTCTTTATCCTTCCTCCTCAAATCGTAATTGGTCAACGCGTTAGTCACTTCACTATAGCTGATAGAAGATCTCCCATTCAACAAAGTGAGCATGAAGGTATCATACTCCTCATCCGGTAAGGAGCCCAATAAAATAATCGTCTTGTACTTATCCGATATCTTCTCATCAACATTCGCCAAGTTCGATAACAACTTCGTATAGTTGTTCACATGAGCCGCAAACGAGGTGCCTCTGGACATCTGGAATCTAAATAATCTACGCAGCAAGTACAACCTGTTCTCAACACTCTTCGTGAGATACTTATTGTTGAGAATTTTCCACATTTTCATTGCAGACGTCACCCCAATCACATCATATTTCAGTTCCTATTCCAAACAGGACCTGATCATCCCACACGCGTTCTTATTCATCTTCTCCCATATCGTCTCATCATATTTAGGTGGCCTCTTATGGACCATGATGGTCTCTTTCAGATTCTGAGCATTGAGCGCATCCTGTACGTCGCTCATCTACAAACCAAAGTTGATTTTGTCATCATACTTCACCACACTAATCTTAGTGTTCTGAAAACCAACTTGTATTGTACTATCCATCGACTTGCTGCTTTCACCTTCTTCTCCCATTGCAAACTAACTCCAAATTATAGAGAAAGAACAAATTTGATAGAAATTAGGAACCACCCAACTGAACCCTAGATCGGATTCCAAATAGATCTCCTATCCACACGAGGAAAGCGAAATCTCCAACGACAACTCCTAATACTATCTCCACCGAAGTCTAGAACTCTAAGAACTAAGCTTCACACAAGAATCTTCCTCCACCAAACTCCAAAACCCTAGATCTGAAATCTGGGCTCTGATACCACTTATTGCGCGCAGCGAAAATTTCGGCAGCACTTCGGCAGCACAATAAGAGAGTCGGGTCTCAATAAGAATTCTCGTCTCACTAAGGAAACAAGAATCTGAAGCAAAATATCTTAACCAAGTGAGATATCAGCTCTTCCTCTCATCAGTTCTAGGACTGACCTGTCGAGGGAACCTAAAAACTATTACAAATCACACAAATAACGATACAACCAATTTTACGTGGTTCGGCAAATTGCCTACGTTTACGGGGCAATGAGGGGGGAGATCTACTAATAGAGGGAGAGAATACAAATAGGGTTTACAATCACTCAATTTAAACCCTCACACAAACTCTTAGATCCCTCACACAAATACTCTCTCAAAGGGATGCACAAAACCCTAGAACAGCTGCACACAACTCAAAAAAAAACTTTGCTTTTTCTTTTGCACGCGCCGCCAATTTCCCTTATTCCCCTGCTGCGATTTTCTTCAGCAGCCGCAAAACAAAACCAGCCTTGCACCGAACCCTAGAGCAAAAATCATATGGCTATTTATAGCATGATGAAAAAAAAAAACGCGTTCGCGTTCGTGGGCCGATTTATTTCATCCGCAAAACTCCTTCACGCGAGTGCTCACGTGGAAATTGATTTCTTCATGCGGAAAGAAATCAAAACACGTTCGTGGGCCCCACTAACACGCTTCACGTGTACAATTCTCCACCTCGGTGAAGTTTTCTCAAAACTGAGCCGACACCAAATGGATCCAAATGTCCCACTTGTTGCGTCCAGGACGAAGTGGAATCAATCCACAACAACGGACCCATTCCACAACAAGTCGAGAACCCGAACGAGAGTCCAAACAATCTCATCCCCATCAAAATCAACTAATCCAAACCGGTTGCATCAAACATGACTGCCTACGTATCCTCTTGTCCAAGGAATCAAACCGAACGTAGTTCACCCAAATGGCCGCTAACGGCCTCAACAATCACGAATATGTAACAAGTTTCGACAATGATCAAACTTGTTGCTCGGAACCACCTTTGTGAGCATATCCGCCGGATTATCCTTCGTGTGAACTTTCACAATCTCCACATCGCCATCTTCAAGAACATCCCGAACGAAGTGATAACGAACGTCAATGTGTTTCGTCCTCGCATGAAAAACTTGATTCTTCGCCAAATAGATAGCACTCATGCTATCACAATAAATAGTGACGGATCGCTGCGATATACCAAGTTCCTCCAAAAGTCCTCGAAGCCAAATACCCTCCTTCACAGCCTTCGTAACCGTTATATACTTTGCCTCCGTCGTAGACAAAGCCACCGTCGACTGTAAGGTCCTCAAAGTATAAAAAGCCATCATCTCCAAGTTCTATGGTCCTCAAAGTCCATTAGGATTACTTGAAATATTTTTGGAGAGTGGTGGATGCTAGTTGAAATCATTAAAGGCTTGTTTGGATTGAGGGGAATAAGGGTGAAGGGAAGTTAAGGGAACCATTCATCTTGTTTGAGAACATTTAGGAGGTAAAGTTATTCATCCTAGTTCCCCTTGATTCACCCCTTAATAGTATAAAATTTGTTACCCTTCAAATTGGGGTGTAACCAAGGGGAAGGGAACTCCCTTCCCTTCCCTTCTCTCACCTAGTTTCCCTTAACCCCATTGAAATCCAAACACACCCTAAAACTAGGAAAGATCTTAGTCAAAGGAAAAGGTTTAGACATACTCAACGTTGAGTCTTATTGAAGATTTATGTCACTTGTCAATCTGGAAGTTATTTTTTTAAGAAAAATTTTGTTCTTGTTAACATTAGAAAATAACTCTGATACAAGAAAAAACTTAGGGTCCTTTTAGTTTCATTCATGTGCTCACGCAAGCAAAGAGCTTATATTAGTGTTAATTTTATCATTATATGGTAACTGTGTGTTTTAATATCTCTGTATTTTTGATATACCCTGTCTTTTGGATCACTCCTGCTCATAGAAGTCAGGAATATGGGATGCTATAGCGAACTGCGACCTGGGTTCAATTGTACTAGATTCGCGACCTGGGTTCAATTGTACCAGATTCATGGTGGACCATGACCCGATTCACCAACTCTAGCGACCCGATATATAATTCAAACCAGTTAAATTTTTGACAAACAATAACCCTTTTTTAATAGAATAAGCAACAGAAAACATGAAAAATTAAGCAAATAAAGTCCATACTTTAATTGCAACATGATTTTTAAATTTGACTATCGCAAAATCTCTGATTCCTACATTTAAGAACCGAACCTAATATGTACCACATTTCCTAGCACACATATAAGCCTACCCCCTCGTACCCAATTCCTAAAGAGTGGCGGGCCAAGCTTCTGGACCCGTCCCATGAACCGGAACGAATCCGGTTTCATGCAGCTATGCTCCTGCTTATCACCTCGTGAAATCTTATAAAGTTATATCTGCTTCCTTTTCATGTTCTCTTTTTAACTTTCACTCAGGCCTTTCATTTATGTATTTGAATTCATCTGTAATCCTTATGCTCCTTTAGTAATCTGCCTTAGATAATTTAATCGAATACATCATGGCCTTTAGAACTTAAAAGCTCGAACATAGTGATCGAAAAAATTCCTTGTACATATATTTTGTTCTAGTTTGGTTGATCTTATGTACGCAAGGTCTAATCTCAAATCTATCACAAACTTGGGTTAGATATAGTCGGATATTGCCCAGATCTTGTGAAGAGGTACGATTATAATGTTAAAGAACGGTTCAGCTGCTTGACTGAATGTTAGAAAGGTCTGATTTCAGCCTTGGTTTCTCTACATGTTATATAGATGCTGTTTTTAATGCAGAGTTTTAAGGGAATTTCTGTGTCCCTATGTCTTTTTTTGTCTATATCTACATGGAAATAATATATAGATTAGGTTCAACATTTTGGGTTTCAGTCTTTTTTTCATCTGGAGCAATGAATTATGAAGTTGTCGAATATCATCAAGTTTTTGCCTAGGTTAAATGGTTAGTGCTCTGGTTCTCCTTGCCTGCTAATAAGGTGGTCTAATGTTTCAGACCTGGCTAATAGCCGAATAGGTAGGGTTCATGTTGAGGACAATATTTTAATATACTGGGCCGTGTTATGACTCGTTAGCACCCCTAACCCTGAGATTCCCACCATATAATTGAGCTACCTTTAATTATAGACCCTTGATATGAGAATCGAACTTCCTTTTACACAAGTCATGGCCACTAACCCTATTGCTAGACATTGGTTTTTAATTTAATTGATTACCTGGATATTTATGTTATTATTGTGCTAAAATGACTATTTATGTTACCATCAGACGCGGCCTGATGAATTTCACCCACATGTATCTGGCACATCATGGTCTCTCCATGTCTTTTGTTAAACTGCATTGATGAGGACACAAAATCAGGATAATTAGGTTAACTGAACCAAGTGCATATTTCACTTTGGCAGTAGCTATGGAGTTAATTTTTTTTACTGGTATGATAAAGGCCAAGGCTATAAGTCATCCGACTAAATTTTGGCTTTGGACCCCTTGAACCAATTCAAATGTACTGCTCTTTGCTTAGTCAAAATAGCTAGTCAGATTTTCTTCTCAAATATTTGTTGTTAAGCTACCATTCAACGTTGTTTTGTTTATAAACTTTTGTAAATGTAGAGGTAATTTGATTAGGAGAGAGTGAGAATTTTTGCGGTAGAATGGTCAAAGTATAGCCATATAGTAGGTGGTCTGTAAGTTCTGAAACAAAAATTTAGCTAATAGTTAAGATACTACTGTGATATGTAATTCATGATAATAATAATTTTGTGATTGCTATATTCGTGATCTGTTGAAGTATACGAGCTAAATTGACATAAATCCAGTAATTAGAGGAATAGATTCAATAAAAAGAGTTCTCTGGACGGTTGAACTCTGCATTTGCAAAAGAAATTTCAACCAAATACGAGTATACAACTAAAAAAACTAAAATCAATTAAGTTCATAATGAAGGGGTAGGTTAAGTAATAGTGAAATTTAAGAACTGAAATGTTGGTCCAGACCTTTGGCTTTTATTTAGATTCAGATTTCATTATTATTTTTTACTTTATTTCCAATTAGCCAGCAGCTTTCAGCCTTTGTAGTTGTTTTGTTTAGGCTTTATATGCAAGAGTTCAATTCTAAAGAGGGTCAGAGATCCAAACTATATCAGGGAAACTCTAATATGACAATGGAGGGAGAACCTATTTATGTAAATATATGCAAGGAATCTAGAATAATCCAGGACAGAAACAGCCACAATTGACCACCCTTACATCTGTTCTTGGCCAGTATACGCCTTTGTCAAGTTGGGGAGACAGTTAAACTGTAAATATCTTCTCAACATAGATTATCCCTCGTGATTGTAGATTACAGACATTTGCTCATGTACTGGCCAACTGAGCTCCTACCACGGACTTTTTATGCTGATTATAGTCATCGTGTTTGTAATGCAGTTCGACTTTGATGACACTTATTCCATCGTCATATATGGGACTGGTGCTCTACTTGCTCTGTGGTTGTTATCTGCGGTTGTTGGTGCCATCGATTCCATTCCTGTGGTAGGTTTACATTTAAACTTTTCTGGTTTTTTCCCCTCTTCGGGTGTAACTCAAAACTCTTAAAAGCTAGCCTTTTTGGGTGTAAAACCAGTTCCCAAAGGTGATGGAAGTGGTTGGTCTTGCCTACACAATTTGGTTCAGCTACCGGTATCTCATCTTCAAAGTGAGCTTTCAAACTCTCCATTAACTGTTTATGATGGTCTATTAATAAGACTTGCACTATCAGTTAAATTTTTATGCTGCAGGAGAACAGGGAAGAAATGTTTGCAAAAATTGAAGATCTCAAGAAGCAGACCATTGGGACAACCGATGATTGATATATGAGAGAAACTTTGTGCAGTTTTGTTTTTCATACATAGATATCAAACCATATGTTGTTAGTTCCATTTAATTGGATTTAATTGTGATCATTCTAGCAGTTTTATAAATGATAAACATATTATGCATTTTTTTAACTTCTCATTTGTGCTTTTGGGAAAGTGGTTACTGGATTTATGCATTTATAATCGTTCAAAATAGTGTATTTTTTTGACAAATTTTGAAAACAGACCCATTTATAAAAATATTTGCAAAAACGATATATTCTGAAAATATACGTCAAACTTTACTGGACTTGGAAGTCCCGTGAAATTTAACAGCTATTTAATTAAGCAGCTAAACTTTACAGGACTTCAAGTCCTGTGAAGCTTCATTGTTGAAAAGAACTTGACGGGAGTTGAAGTCCGTGAATTTTGTTAAAGTGTCCAAACTCGATATGCCCTCTCCTCTCCCTTCTTCCACTGGACCGAACGAAAAAAAGCCCTAGGCGACACCCGAAATTCCTCTGCCTCCAACGGCTCCTCCCGCACCAA